AGTAAAACAACTATTTTCAGGCATTGAACAGCAATGAAAACAGAGCTATGATACTTGAAAAACAGAAAAAAAAAAATGAAGTGAACTTCAGATTCACTCAGCTTGGGAACTTGTGTTCAAACAGAAAGTTGCACTCTCAGAGAACAACAGACACTGGTGTTCAAGGTTGCCATGGAAACAAGGATAAGCACCAGGGCTAAAGAGGCGGGACCTGCAGAATTTCAGAGAAGCAACTCCTGAAATTATACAGAAATTCTCAGAATTTCAAGGTCCCAAATCATATGAAAACAGGGTGAGAATCTCAGCAGAGGCCAGTCAGATAATTACTCCTGGGAGATTGGAGAGCTGAGTAGAAGTTTCAGAGGCTGCATCATGTCAGGAAGATAGTGCGTTCTAACCCAGGTAGAATAGAGAGATAGTAACTCTAGTATCTCAGAAGAGTTGTCAAAATGCAAATGACAATACTTCCACTATTCATTCTGCTAACTCCATATAAACTTTTGATCCATGTGGCATTTAAACAACTCATTAATATCAGGAAAAAATATGTAAGTGGCATAATCTTAGATGTTTTATTTCACTTCCTTCAATCTATTACTCAGAAGACCCAAATAGCAAAAGTAAAAAGTTGAATTTTAGAGACTAGTACTATTAGTTATTCTATTCTTAATGTACTATCACAGGGGAAGGAGTTCTTCAAAGACAGTAAAAATATACTGTCTTCTTCAAAGACAGTAAAAATATTATAAAACTTTTAATCATAAACTTGAACTAAGCATTTCATAGTCTTTAGTTCTAATGATATGCCCTTGTAGCTCTTTTAAGTTTAGTTCAGCTAAATAATAGCTTTCCATTATCTATCAGAAGACATCTACTCTGTCTTCTGACATTCTAAACACCCCACTATCCACTCCCATCTAACTTATCACATCTCTCTAGTGACCCCCCCCCACATACAGTTCTTTCCACAGCAGAGCATTACCTGCTTCTTGTATATATATATATATGTGTGTGTGTGTGTGTGTGTGTGTGTGTGTGTATCATTAAAATATTCAATGAGCTCTTCCCATACACAGCCTTAGTGATCTCTAAAAATGGTTCACTACTCACTTGACCCAGAAAACCCTACAAAGTCAGGCAAATCAAGAGGTTCAAATCTTCATGTTCATTTTAAGTATGCTCATGAAACTGCCCAGGCCATCAAGGGAATCCATATTTGAAAAGCCACCAAGAATCTGAAGGGTGTCACTCTACGGAAGCAGTGTATGCCATTTGGTCATTACTATGGTGGTATTGTAGGTATGCCTAGGTCAAACAGTGGGTTTGGATGCAGGGTCAGTGGCCCAAAAAGAGTGAATTTTTATTGCACATGCTTAAAAATGCAGAGTAATGCTAAAGGGTTGAGATGTAGATTCTCTGGTCATTGAGCATATCCAGGTGAACAAAGCCCCTAAGATACATCGCAGAACTTACAGAGCTAATGGTCAGCTGGATTAACCCATACATGAGCTCTCCATGTGACAATGAGATGATCTTCTGAAAAAGAGCAGATTGTTTCTAAACCAGAAGAGGAGGTTGCACAGAAGAAAAAGATATCTCAGAAGAATAACTGAAGAAAAAAAACTTATGGCCAGGTAATAAGTTCAACTTAAAAGGAAATGAAAGTTAAAACACACACACACACAGTCACCCAATGACAAATATTTATAGAAACACTTCTAAGATCCTTGGCCCTTAGCACAGGATGAGGCTCCAGGAGGTCTTGCAGAAAAAAGATCCTGAGAGACTAGAGGGCTGAGGTGAGTGGTAATATCAGAGACTGCACAAAAGTGGAATTTTGGTAAGCAACTAACATCCAAGCCTGTTTCATCTGCAAAATGGAGATAATGTACTACTTCACAGGGTTGTTGTCATGGTAACTAAATGAATCAAGTGCCAAGTCATTCTCTTTCCCACAGCACCTCCTCCAAAGCATCTCTTGATAATCACATTTTTGGTGAGGACTGTATTACCAATTATAACTAACAGAAAATATACGGATCTGTTAAAATGATTGATAAGAGTTTTCAGTTCACAAAGCATTTCACTTTTAATATATACAATCCTATAATTCATTCACCCATTTTTATTGGAATTCTACAACATGCCAGGTCCTATGTAGCATCTACATAAACCTGTGTTTATGTAGCTTACATTTTAGAGGTAGATTTACATAAACATATATAAAAGCAGGTAAGAAAAATCTCTTTGTAAGTGAGGTTAAGAGAGAAAATGATGCGGAGTCAAGACAGGTGTTGGGTTTGCCATTTTACATAAAGATGAGAGAAGCCTTTTCTATCAAGATGAGGTTGGGCTGGTCAGGGATTACAATAAAGAGAGGAAGTCAAACAAGTGGGTTTCTGGGAAAAGTTTCAGCTAAGAGGATAGCTGAGACCTTAAGGTAAGAACACGCCTGGCCTTTTTGAAGGAAAAGAGATCAAAAGAGCAGGAGAGCAAGTAAACATGGAGGGAGAGTACTAGGTGATAAAGAGATCACAGGCATACAAGGCTAAGTTACACAGTCCTGTAAGTCATGGATTCAGGATTTTATTCCCAGTGAGATAGGAAATCACTGGAAATTTCTGATCAAGGAATGATGTGATCTTAACTTTAAAAAGATCACTCTGGATATTGAGTGGAAAATAGACTTCATTGTACCACGGAAAGCAGGAGGGGTACAGTAAGTCTAGGACAATAGTTGTCAAACCTGAGCGCATCAGTCACTTGAAGGGCTGGTAAGACATGTACTGATCACACTAAAAGCTGTACACAAATGCTTGTCGCAGTTTCACTTATAACAGTGAAGAACTGGAAACAACACAGACATCCTTCATGTATATCCATACCATGAAACACTACTCAGCAATAAAAAGGAATAAACTGATACCAACAACCCGGATGAATCTACAGAGAATTAGACTGGGTTAAAAAAAAATGGCCAATCCCAAAAGGTTACTTACTATATGATCCTACTTTGGGGGCTTTAAAGAAATGGAAAACAGATTACTAGTTTCCAGGAGTTAGGGACTGGGGTGCAGTATGGGAGAAGACTGGCTGTAGATATGTTGGAGCCTTTTGGTAACGGAAATGTTGTAATTGTAATGATGTCAATATCCTGCCATTATTGTACTATTGTTTTACAAGATGTTACCAGAGGGGAAATTAGGTAAAGGGTACACAGATCTTTCTGTATCCTTTCTTTCATTGCATGCAATTCTTCAATTATCCCAAAATAATTAACTTAAAATAATGGTTGAAGTAATTAAAACACATATTGCAAGCATCTTACCCTGTTTCTGATTAAGAAAAACTTGGAAATGTGTACTTCTAACAAGTTTCTCAATGATGCTAATCTGGGGTCATAGTTTAGGAAGTAATACTTTGGGGCAGTATTATTTCTATTTTGTAGAAGAAACTGAAGTCTCAAGAATAAGACTTCTTATTCTTGACTTCTCCACCAAGGGTGCTAAGAACTTAAGTAGCAGAGCAGGATACAAATCAGGTCCTATCAGCTTGGGGTTTTTGTCTAGGCACACCAAGATAAGATGATAATCCTAATTACAAGAACTCTCTAGTATCTAGCCCATTAACAGGCCAGAGCTTGTTGAGTTGGATTGCATAAACCTAAAAACTCTATAAAATATAGCTTAGATACAAACATCTCACAAACCTCAAGACATATACACGTATTAAAATGTGTAGAAGTGTTCAGTTCCTTTTCTGTTCGTTTCCTCAAATATGACATTAGGGATGTGATACCGTCTTCTTAATTTTGGGTCTCCTTACTTGAAAATCTGGATTTTTACAGACAGCTACAAGTTGACCCTCAAAAGAACACAAAACTAGTTGTGCTGACTATTCAAATGGACACCTGCTATAGCTTTACTTTATTTCTGCAAACCCAGAATGAGATAGGGAAAATGTGCACCAAAATACTAGCTAAGCAAAAATTCATTGACAAAACTAAAATTAACAGAAAGGATAGGGGGTGGAAGGGTTGAGTAAAGGGGAGAGTCACATTCAAAACTGCTGTTTTTAGCAAAATATTATGTGCCTAAATTCATGCAGATATCAAAGCAATTACATTTCAAGTGTTTACCAAATAGTTTTAAAATCCCCTTATGCAATAGCTTCCCTAACAGTCTTCAACATCTCCATGGCAAAAGTAACAAAACTTGAGGAAATAGGTTTAAATAGCTAAGGCTTTACATTAGAAATAAAAACTTTCTGGTAATGATAGTCACCTGAGTACATTCATGATCATTCTCTATCCTCTTAAATACTAGATGTTTAAAACATTCAATCTAATGGGTTCATCCCAAACTGTGTCAGATCTTGTTTCAGGCCTACTTTCCTACATTAATTACATTTCCCAAAACTAAGTAAAGAGAGCTACTTTGTTAGAATTACGGGAAAAAAGCTAAATTAAAAAAATAGGCTTCAAGTACAGGTAAAGACCCCTGGAAACCAGTATCCAAAGCTGAAAACTAATTCCCATTAACTGCATTTTATTCCATCAGAAAATAGACAGGCTACTATTCTGTGTAGTTCTCCATATGTTCTTGCCCAGTCAGCTCTAGTTTCCAAACACCACTAAGGGAAATCTAAGACTCACATTAAACTCACAAATAAATTAGACATTCAACTCCCAATGCCACTCCCATCTCCTACCAACAGAGTCATAAAACATCCATTTCTTTCAGTCAGAATTTCACTCCAATATAGTGCAGGAAGTACACAAACTAAGAGTAGTTTCTATTTTCACCACCTCAGAACATCCCAAAGGGAGTTATTAATTCACTACAAAAGGAAGCTGGTATCCATTTGTTAAGCAAATAGCCAGGAATAAACTTGTAAATTTCACAGTTAGATAGCCTCTGGGCACATATATAGATTCTGATTTGAAAAAGTACTAAAAAGGCTTAATTTTACCTAAAGCACTATTATGTTCAATTCAAAAAGGACTCAAGGCATAACATTGTTAAAAACATTTATTTTGATATAGTCTATCATAAATAAATCCACAGAAGTTCCACTCTGCCACAGATGCATCTAAGAGCCCTGTGTCATCCAACTGGTGAATGTATGAAAGATGTCCCATCTCTTATTCATCCAGAGTGTACACCTTCCATGTTGTTCCTGTTTGTTGACTGCTTCCAAATCCAGATGATCAAACAGTCCTTTATCCCCAAAGTAGGCTAAAATGTTTGTGAAGAGGAAAAATCAATTAACCCCCAAAATAAAAACTTGCAAAACATGACTTAAGAATTAGAAGATGCTATACATTCATACTTTTGTTTATTCATCTATCAAATTCAAAGTTACAAGGATCAATCTCATTGACAAAAAAATAAAAAATAAAAAACCAGAAAACATACAGAACCACATTTATGGATATACAATTTTGTTACTTTTGAGTGTGTCTGTCTGTTATAAACAAAAAAGAAAATTTTAAGTTGACAAATGTGATCAATCCAAAGATAAACAATGATTTTATTAACATGAAAAGACTGATGTACCCATCAATACGTGCAACATCAGTAATACTAAAAATAACATCTATTGAATGCTTTCCATTGTCAGACATTATGCACACAGTTTATTATAATTCCCAATTTTAAAGATGTAGAAACTGAGGCTTTGAGGTGGTTATATATTATAAGTGGCAGGGTGGAATACAACCCTCTTAATCATTCATCCACACACATTCCAGGGGCAATTATCCTTCTTTCCACCCCAACTAATTTTTCGCAAAACATTACTATCACTGACTAACCCAAACTCCCAAATCATTTGTTGACAGAATTCAGTAAGGAGAAAAGAGATGTTTTATTCCTAAGTCCTGTTGATTATAAAAGTGATTTCTAGTAGTGTGTCAACTTGAATAAAACTACATTCCAAAATGACTATCTGAACACCTGAAAAGTTCATTTGTTAAAAGTATTTTCCTTTTGCCTGGGGGGGGAAAAAACAACGTGCATGTATTTCTAATTTTCAAATGCATTTTAAAAACTCCCATTAAACCCCAAGTATTTTTGCATACAATTAAGATATGAAAATAAATTATTCATCCTTTAATGTGTCCTCCTCAAGCATATATCAAAATAAAGAGATGTAACAAGCACCCAAAATAAAAAGAGTATCTTCTTTGGTGTTATACAGATAATGAGAATGACTCTCTAAGTTAACTTAAGTGTTCTTATATTTTGCCTAAAATAATGTTTTACTATGACATCATCCCTTATTAATAAAAGTATTGCATTTTGAATAAGGCATTCACATCAATCAACATTCGCTAGTCATATACCTTGTACAATCCTGACGGAAAAAGAATGTGGTCCTAATCAAAGAACCCAACAACTTAGTAAAGAAGAAAAATCATGAAGAACATTATTTACACAAGTATTAAGTAAATAAATTCTACATAAAAAATAAACTTTACATGAATAAGAAATGTTGTAATAAAAATTTACATTAATTAAAAAATATCCTGCTTAGCAGATACAATTCTGTTCCTTTCAGAGTACAGACTAAGCAGCTCATGAAGACCTCTCTAGTTCAGTCTTTTCAGTGCAAGCAAAAAATAGGAAGTTTTCTAACTGGATAACCCTCCATTTAATTCTTTTCTAAAATTCAAATACCCCTGGAAGGAAACCAGAAGATGATACTAATAACAGAAAAGATGACTAAGGCAGCATCAGAAAGAAAAGCAGCATGAGAAGGTAGTAAGTAGAGAAATGAAAAAGTAGGGTGGGGCTATTCCATCTGGTGTGCAATTTTAAAGGATTGACTTCTGGAAGCCAAAATAAAATATAACAGAAGGGTAGCCTATCTGCAGCTCTGGTTCCTAGATCACCCAGGACACACAAAATGTTATTTCCCAGCATGCAAGTTCAGTCTAAAAATAGAACCACAGGATGCAGGATGTATCAATTCCTGTTTAAAGAACACCAAGAGGTTAAGGCCACTTAATTTAATTCAACTCTGCTGGCACTTAAAATACCTAAAGAATTACAGGGCAAAATACAATCTAAATAAACAGTAATAATAGAAGACAGAGAATGACAAACACAAAATACTATGGAAACATAGAAAATAGGAGTGATTTCAACTAGAAGTGGGAAAAGATTTAGGGAAAAAGTGACATTTGAGTTTAGGCTTTTCTAGATGCAGGTTTTCATTAAATGAAAACTGAGGGGAAGCTGCATTCCAGGATGAAGGAGCACAAACACATAAAGGCATGAAAAATACACTTTTTATTCTAGGACTATCATGCAAGTATTACACAGTCAGAGCACAGTTCTTACAGGAGAAGAAATGAGGTAAAGGAGATGACATAAAAGATTAAAAATAACTATTAATAGTTTATTGCTCATATATTACGTGGCAAATACTGCTAACATACAATATTCTTACTTAATCCACATGGCAACCTTATAAATAATAATAGATATTATTATGAACAATATACAAAAGAGGGAATTTCATCTTAGAAAGGTTTAATGGCTTCTTGGGGAAAGGTATGTGATGGTTAATTTCCTCTGCTTGCAAAATGTTCACACAGCTTGACCAGGTAGTTCCAACTGTTTCCAAAGGAAAGAACTGGTCTAACATTATTCAGCTAATAAGTGAACTGGTCCAAGGTTACTCACCTAGTATGTAGCAGAGACATTACCTCAAGTCCCATTTTACAGATAAGGACATTAACAGTTCAAAGAGAAAGGACAAGGAAAAAAAAGGAACTTAGTGGAAACCTCTGAAAGTTTTAAGCCACACAATAAAAGGTAAAAGAGAGAGAAGACACTGAAAGAAAGGAAGCAATAAGTGAAGACCATTTGCTGAATAACTTTATCAGGGAAGAGAGAACAAGTGCACAAATGGAAAAAGATGAGGGCACATACAGTGGTAACCTTTAAGAAATATCCCTTCCTCTGAGAGGAGAGGCCAGCAGGGTAGACAAGTGGAGAAAAGTCGTATCAGATGGTACTGTGCTAAAAGGTAAGATTATCTGGGGAAGGCCATGAGATGCAGTGGAAAGAGTATGGGCTCTATAGACAGATAAATTCCACTACCTACCGTGTGGCCTGTTCTTAAGGACTGAAGTGAGAATTACAAGATACTATATACAAGGCACCCAAAACAGACTGACACATTGTAGGTAACTGCTAAGAAAAGTCCATTAGGGCAATCCACAAAAGTCAGAAAGGTAATCTGATATCCCACAGCATTTGTGCAGGGTCCTGTTAATCACAGTGCCACAAGTATCAGTCCTTCATATAAAGGAAAACCTGCTGTTCCAGAATCTACATATATCTATAGCCACACTTATACTTTTCACAAGTACACACATATAAATACATGTATACATGTAAGATGTGTATACATCTTATGTGTATTAAGATTGTATGTGTATTAAGCTGGCACTTAGTTACCACTGGCAAGGTTGTTTCTGAGAAAGGAATTAAACAATTTCTGGCATTTGCAGAGCATTAAATAGTCATACATTCTGATTTACTAATCTCAAGGATTTTATCATAAGGAACTTATAAGAAAATAACACCAGTAAAATTTATGTGCACAGAATGTTATATTGTGAGATAAAATACTGAAAACTGAAAAACCTAAATCAACTGGAAACATGTGGAATATCAACTTTAATTTTAGGTGAAGAAAATAAAATCCTATGTACCCTTGTTAGAATAACATAAAACGTATTTATAAGGATAAGACAGGAATATAGAAAATTAGAGAAAGTAGTGGAATAAATTTATTTCATTTTAAAATATGCTGCACTGTGGAAATAACATGGTGCAGTAAATAAAAACTATCAGGGGAAGAAAAACTAATTACTTGATAACACAAATCTGTAAACTGCTGCAGTTTTCCAAAAGCCCAAAAGTATACTGACTGGTAAAGCTCTACTACAATGCCTACCACTACTAATTTTTGCTTTCCAATGATTCAGTACTAATATATAAACATTTGCCCTCAATGTTTATTTGTAAGAGCAGTACCTCAAAACAGTTGGTTCAGGCATTCCAGGATCTGCACCCCTCTTAAATCCTGAAAGGAGAGTGGGGAAGAAAGAGAAAAAAAATTAAAACCGTAACAGACAAAAAAAGTTACAACCAAGATTTTACTCTTTTTAAAGGGAAAAGGAAGGAAAGAGGGGGGTAGATGAAAACAATTAAAAGAGCAACAAACCACAGAGACAAAAAAAGCAAGAACAGGCTAACAGAACCCCAACATACACAACAATGGAAAAAGGTGGCACAAATAAGAAGAATCAAACTCCCTCTACCTTTCTTAACTAAAAGGAAAGCCAGTCCCAAAGTTCAATTAGCTAGCTGCTCCCTCCTAGCTTTAAGTGAAATTGGGAACCCAGGATAGAGGGGGGGCGGAGAGGGAGACAACACCGCTGGTAATTATTGGCCCTAATCCAATAATCTAAACATAGTCACTAATCAGGGAAAGCAACATTTCATTTTGTTTAATTCATTAAAAATAAGGGAAGAAAGGGGGCTTTATTATGTTCCGTATACTTTAGTATTCCCAGATTATCAGTGGGCCTGCAGCATAGGGAAATGGAAGCCACAGTTGCCTGGAGAAGGTCTGGCAAAATCAAAGGTTCTGTGAAGACTGGGTAAATGAACTTTAATTTAAGACTATTCACGAAACGTACAAAGCAGAATCAGCACCTTGTTAAAATCGTAAGATTCTAAACAATGGAATTGGATTTTAGAAATGTCCAACTAACAAAGCTGGGGCTCCTTCTCTTTCACTATATTGCCTGAGTATGGCAGTAAGATTAAAAAGTTAAAGACCCCCAAAGTTAGAAATAGAGTAAGGTTCAGTTGCATAGTGCTTGGTGAAAATATTTGCCAGAACATTTAGAAAACGTTGCATTACAGCTTTATGTAAACTGTAAACTTTGCATTTACAGTTAAGAGTATGGACCGAGAAGACCCACTGCTTGAATTCATTGTTCCTCCACTTGACAGCTGTGGCCCTCAGCAAGGAACAAACTCCATGACTCAGTTTCCTCACCTGTAAAGTGGGATCTATAAAAAGTCATCCAAATCCTTCACTGTGCAGGTGAGAAAACAAGAAGCATAATCATGTTTCAAGGCAATGGCATTAGCCACAATGTCTTCAGGCCTCTACTTAAGGTAGAACAAGTTATTTAACTGGAGAAGAGAGGGCTTTTTTCCCTCACTTCTGAAAACTCACTTAGGGCCTAAGTGTGACTTAGTCGCTTTCACAAAGATGAAGTCATTTAACTCACAACAATGCAAAGAGCAGGTCATCTCCATTTTACAGTCGTAAAAAAAGAAACTGAGGGATTGATTGCGTGACTCGTTCAAGACTACTAAAAATAGTAAGGGACAGACGGGAACTCGAACTCAGGTTACACCGACCCTACTAGACCAAACGTAGAAAGATTTGCACAACGTGGTCCCTTTCTCCACTCCCCGAACGCCAAAAATGGAGTCGCAGCCTCCGCCCCACCCCTTTCCCCCGAGTCACCTCCCAGATTCCTCTCCCACTGACCCAAGTAAATCACGAGAGGAATAAAGCCCCAGCGGATAGCAAACTGGCCGCCCTTGAAAAGCTGCTGCAGTCTCTGCTTGGCCTCTTTGCTCAGCTTCACCATGGTGACGGCAGGCGCGTCTCAGTGAGAAGAAGCGACAGCAACGACCCGCGTCGGGAATCCAAAAGGCAGACGAGGTGCGCACGCGCCATACGCGGCCTTTACGGCAGGAGTCGTGCGCGTCGCCAGCAGAGGTCGTAATTCATCGCCCTTCGCCAGCCTCGCCAGTCCCCGCGCGGCCAGCAGAAGGCGCATGCGTGCTTGTTTGGCCTCGCTGACAGGCTTCCGTTCACTTTCCAGGTCACATGTTATGACCTGGAGGGTCCTTCATCCCACACCGCCTTCACTCTTCCCACAGTGTTCCTTGCCGGCCAAAGAAGGAACATTAAGTGCAAAAGTAGTGGGTTTTAGTCCTGACCCTTATTCTAACTTACCGTGAGATTTTAAACGACTTATTTAACTTCTCTCAGAATCGGTTTGTTTCTTCAAGCCGAAGGTTACCTGACGGAAGGTTACAAACTCATGGTCAGTTGGTCCCGCATTCATGTTTCTTTTGACTCTCATAATGTTATTTTACCAATTCTTGTTGAGACACACACAGAGGATGAAGCGATTGTACCCAGCACATGCTAGATGAGTGGCATCAGCAAAGAAAAATGAGTTAGAAGAGAGAGCTAACATTGTGAACTGAGGTAATTAGGAAAAACTTTATGGAGAGCAAGGGAATTAGCTGACTTTAAAGAATGTTTTCAGGTCCAGAAACTCAACTTTCCAACTATTAAGGGAAAGATTGGTTCCTTTCCTGGCCCCTCCAGTTTTTCCTCGAAATTTGTATCCTGCCGCAAATTTGTATCAACGTATTTGTTAGCCTGTGCATAGAAAGAAATACACTCAAAACTCTTAGTAATAATCATCTAAGGGGTAGGGAGGGAATTATTTGAACTCTTCGCTGTCCGTGGCTGTATCTCTGTAATGTGTTGATTATTTTTCATAATGAGAAAATATGAATTTTTTCATCAGAAAAAAAAGGAGATTTTAAAACAAAATAAAGCTCTTCAAGGACCTCCCCACTGCCTTTAGGAAAAAAGATTAAAGATCCACTCCACAACCTATCTGATCTTGAAGTCACCATATTTGTCTCTAATCTCTGCTGTTACCTCTGCCAGCAAAAACTTCCCATACTCCTTTCTTTTTTAAGGTACACTCAAGAATCTCCAAAATGTAATGGCCAGCCCTGGGTAAATTCAACACTTTTTCTGTGGTACTGTAACAGGCTGGTCCCCAGGAAAGGGGGAGGTTCCAGGTTCCCTGCCCCACCCAAAGGGTGGGGCTGAGCAGGGAGGGTGGAGCTGAGCAGGGAGAGAAGAAGCCAGAACCCATTTAGAGCAGGCAGGTTTTGGGGGGTCTGGGGTGCACCTCTCCCTGCCCTGTAGCAGTACCCCCACTCTCAAGTTGATCTGTCATTATCTACCTAACAATCTCTCCAAATGGCTACAGACAGAACTTGATGTTATTATTCTTATATCACCAATGAATGGCATTGGCGAATGAATTTGATAGGGGTCTAACAGTCTTTGTTAATCATACTACTTGATTATCCACAGAACGAGTATCTAAAATGATTATTTGTATATTTGTAATTAGAGGTATCCTTGGCAAAAGAGCTAACATCCTCCTTCCTGGTGGGCAAGAACACTCCGAAGACCAAGGAAAAATGATAACTAACATATACTGGGTACTTAGTATATATATACTTGAGCTGCACTAAGTGCTCACATTCCTTAATTCATTGAATCCTCATAACCCTAGAAGATGTGGTCTATAGTACCATTCTCATTTTAGAGATGAAGGAAACAGAAGCACAGGGAAATGAAGTAAATTTGCCCATACTCAGTAGGATCTAAATAAGCCCAGGATAAATAAAATGAAAATTAGGAGTTCTTAGACCAGAGCCTTAAAAACCAACCACAACATTAGACTATAGGAAAGAAGCAACATAGAACTAGAATGTTGATTACTGACAATGTACAACTCTCTGAGTTATAATCACCAAATGTGGTGAAACATAAAAAGATGAAAGGCAGTCCTCCACTTAAAGATTTTATGATCTCAGAGAGTAAAGCAAGCCTGTTAATAAATTATTTGTCCATATTGACTAACCTTTGGAAAAAAATAAAAACAAGATTAAACACATAGACCCAGGAGGGACAGCTCTGTGTTTGAATCCTAGCTCTATCACTTAGCTGTGTGATCAAGGTCAAGTTGTTTAACCTCTGTGAGTCTGTTTTCTCATCTGTAAAAGAAGACAAGTGCCCACCTCAATTAGTTGTTATAAAGATGAAGAGGTAATAAAAAGACTTTACTTGCTTAGCTAAGTAAAGTCACGATCAAAGGTAAGATATTACTATTTTTGATGGCTTGCTGCTTGCTTCTTTATTCTTACTGATTTCCATACAAAGATCGACTTTTTCATAAGGTTTTTTTCTAACAGTGACCATGAACTGCTGCATCTACTACACACAAAGCCATTGCATCTGCTATATACAATAGAGTGTGAACTCGTGGAGGAGTGTATTTTATACTTTGTCTCCATTAAATCTTAATATAATGCTATGCAATGGAGAGAATTTAACAAATATCTTTTGCTCTGAAGAAAAGTCATGTGGAGCTGAAATCACACATGCCAAGATTTTAATCCAACTCTGCTATTTACTCAAAATGAGAACCGTAAGAACCAGCTGATTGCATATCAGAAAAGCAAATTAATTCACCATGGTTACCAGAGCAACAGGGCCGATTTTCCAAAATGCAACCAAATATATGAGCGAAAATGAAAAAGAAGAAGAGCACAAGGGGCTATGGTGATGGTTCACAAGTGATGTGGTAGTGGGAAATTTATTTATGGTAACAACACCTGGGGGGAGAAATCAAATATTATACAAAAATGAACAACGATGTAAGAAAATAAAAAAGTTCAACAAAAAAATGAAAAGAAAGAAAATTTTACCATATATTTTGTTTTTCAGAAATGTTATATACAAAAATATAACAATATTCAAACACCATGTGCTTTCTTGAATTTTAACTATTACTTTGTCCTCTTTTTTCTGCCCAGTACTTTGGTTGAAAAAAATTTTCTTATTGCCACAATACAGTTTTGGATTCTTCAGCACATCAGGTAATAAGCATCTGTGTAAAATAAAATTTCCACAAAGAAGAGATTAGTGAAACGGCATCACTGAGTTATCCACCAGATATAAAGGGTCTGCCAAGAAAGGAGTTTCAGAAAACTGTTATGCTCCCACAAGGACCTGGTTATCTTATTTGGTGACAGAGTACACTATCCTTGATAAGAAAAGAGAGTCTAGAATAAGGGCCACTTTTGTAGGGCATACAATATGTTGTTATAGGAATTTAGAAGAGATAAAGTCACAGAGACTTGGTCTGTTCAGGCAAAACTTCGTAGAAATAAGCCCCAGCTGGTTTCTGTGGCTCAGGAAGAGAAGGAGCAGAATTAAGAAATACCAGAAAGTGCATGATTATGAGAAGGGTAAAATGCTTTAGGTGGGACAGAAATCTCCAGGCAAGAAATGAGATCAAGTTGTAAAAAAGAACCTAAATGTCAAGTTAAGAAATTTGGATTTTACAACAAAAAACTATGAACCAGAGACACTTTTTGGGGGGTGGGGGGCGGGAGGGGAAGGATTGGGGTCAGAATGGGGCGTTTGCAATTGTATGGGGGAATATAAAAATAAAATTTAATATTAAAAAAAAAAAAAAAGAAATTTGTATTTTAGCCAGAGTGGCTGGAAAGCTGCTGAATATTTCATGGGAAAAAAATTACAAGATGAAAGCATTTATCTTTTAAGGTTTAATTTTTTTCAATTTTCTTTATTTTGTTAAAGAGGAAATAAATTCAGTCTGAATTTAAAAGGTACAAAAGGGTTTTTTGTGAAAGGTCTGCCTCCCACTTGCTGCTCACATTTATCCCTGGCGGCAAACCACATTTACCATTTTCCTATATAGTCTTTCAGAGGGATCTAAGCATATGAAAACAAAGAAGCAAAATTCCTCCCCACCTCCTTTTTTTGCAAAATGGAATGCATACATACTTATTTTCCTTGCATTTGTTACTTAAAAATATAACTTGGAGATTATTCTGTATGAATACACAAAAGGAGTCTTCATTCCCTTTTTTAAAAATAGATGAGTTGGTACAAAAGTACATACAGTTCGAGTTCTCTCTATGTCTTTGGCACAGGGTTGCCCAGTTCTTGCAAGCAACTCAATGGTGTCTAATTTCTTATATATCCTTGTAGAGATAGTCTAGGCCTATGGAAGCAAATAAACATATTCATTCTTCCCATCTCTTTAAAATAAACAAAAAGTATGCACACTATACATTCACTAACTTACATTTCTTTTGTATTTAGAAACCCAAGTAGTGTCTTTATTTTAATTAATAATATTGTACAAGTGTCAATTTCCTGATTTCGACAGTTTTATGGTTATATACAATCTTACTATTGGGAAAAGCTGGGTAAAGAAAGCTCCTGGCACACAGGAATTAACTGTACAATTTTTGAATTTCTTTATAAAGTTTTTAAAAGTATGTCAAAAAATATTAAGAATATTTATTAGTGATTACATAAATAACTTGCCTTTTTATAGATGCATAGTATGTTAATAAATAAAATAGTGACAACTATCCTGTGAAAGCAAACTATTTCAGATTTCCTTAAAATTCCTGAAAATTAGTAACAGTGTCCATCTGTCTATGCTCAGACCGTGGCTCCTCGGTTAAGATTGGTCTATGTGGGCAGCTTTCCTGCCTGCCTGTGACTACACAGGTGTTTACTTTCACAAACCTTTTCCATTTGCAAAGCAGCAGCAGCAGCTCTTTCTGCCCAACTGTTTCTGCAAGTATCTTCTTCTCCTTTCTTCTTTTTTTTTTTTAATAATAAACCTGACCTTTTGGATAAGAAAAAAAGAGGACTGATCTATGTCAAAACCATGTAACCACAATAAAGATTCAAGCAGGAAAGCAGTGACTAAGACATTCAGAGCACAAAGTCCTCATCCTAGTCCTGCTGGTCACTAGTTGTCTGACATTGAGCAGGATATTTAATAACTTTCCAGTCTATTCTCTGGCATCAACTTAGAAATTGTCTGCCCTGGTTCGCTCCCAATTATCTTGAGGGTCAGATGAGATGGCAGATGGAACATTACTTAAGTTGAATCCACAGTGCAAATAAAATATTTAGCAAGTATGGGATCTTGCTGGTGGGTTAGGGGTTGTCTCAGCTCTATCACTATGACCACCCACCCTGGTGGTCTGAGTTCAATCCCTAGCCGGGGACTAGCCCACATGGTGCAGCGGACCTCTCCTGTCTCGCCTGCTGCTCCCCTTAGCAGTGTTTTCAGTAGATCTGCCTCCTCTGCTCCCCACTCTATCTCTGGTGAAACCTCTCACCCCCCGCACCTCTGGCCTATACTCCCAGTTCTTCTATGCAAAAATAAATAAGATGAGGGGCGGAGCAACATGGCGGCGAGGAGACTCTGCGAGTAAGATCTCCCATTAAAAAAAGTTAATAGGGAGGAAAAGCAGCAGGTCCCAGTGAGAACTGGGACACGGAAGATAAACGGGTGACGCCAGCGAACTGCCCGAAGAAAGTGGCCATAAAAGAGGACCAGAAGGGAGGGAAGCGCAGAACCCTGCTCCCCTCCCCCGCCCACAGAGGCGGCACTCTCCGACCGGCAGAGAGGAGGAAACAACAAACCAAAACGGCCCACAAGAACAAACGACGCAGCAAGCTGGACTGTGAGTGAAAAGGAACTATTGCAGCCACCACACCCCGTGAACGGGAGCTGAGGCGAACCCTGCAGGATCCGCCGCGGCGGTGAGCGAACGGCTCCGGGCGCCATTAGAGAAGAACAAAGACCCCGGGAGACGCGCACACAGCCCGGGCTGCCGGTAAGCTGGCGCGGGAACGCGGCGCACTCGGCGCGCTTGAAAAGCAAGTGCAGACCTGGATCGCGGCTGCCCAGGTCCCCGCGCCTGCGACCTAGGCTTGCGGGGAGACGACCTAGGCTTGCGGGGAGACACACGGAGGTCCTCACTGAGGTGAAGGTCCCTCCCTGAGTGAGCAGGAACCAGGCGCCCAGGCGCGGGAGCAGGGTGCAAAAGGCGCCATTCCCGCGCCACTGAACTGGGCTACAGCCCGCATCCTGGAACTGAGGGCTTTGAACTGAGACCCGGGGCACGAAAATTCGGGGCGTGGTTTCTCCACGACGGTGGGGCACAAGGCAGACACAGCACCCCAAAGCTGTTGAGGTGTACCCTACCATTCCCGCTCTGTTCTCTGTCCCACGGGGTGGGGGGAGGCGAAAAACAGCCCCCCAAGGACAATAGGAGAGATCTCTGGCGCCACCTAGCGACCAGGAAAAAAAAAGTCACTAACACCCTATAAAACAGGACATTTCTTAAGACTGCTTGAAAAGGGCAGAAGGTTTCTGGAGGACCCAGTGGCCAGCCGGGAAGTTATTCCACGCCAGGCCCCTTCCGACCAGCAGTCTGAGCCCACAGAGGGAGCAGGCACCCACGTCCGGGGCAGACCGGGTGCGCAGAAGAGTGTGCCTGAAACCGGAGGCGCAGGGACTGCATCCCGCTTCGCCATTTGAGAACAGGGACATTTCTTCAGTAAAAACTGCCTAAAACCAGCAGAAAGCTCCCCCAGAAGACAGAGATGGCTCCTGGAAGAGCCAGAGGGGAGCGGAGAAGTTCACCCAAGATGTCAGTCAGTCCGAGCAACACAGTGTCCCAACGCATACGACAAATTAGAAAACAGACAGTAGGGAGTAGAAGAACCACACGCAACCTAAAAACTCCTCAGGAAAGAAGCACACCACAAAAAGAAAACCATTCCCCAGATTGCAACGACAGCAACTTGGAAGAACTTCTGAGCCTTCCAGAAAGAGAATTTAAAATTGCCATGATTAAAAAAGTGATAGATCAGAAGAAGGAAATTGAGTCCCTAAAGAGGGAAGTAAGAGAAATGCAGGAGATCAAAGAATTAATGGAGGAACTAAAGAACTCTGGGAAAAGCAATGAAAGCAGAATAGATGAAATGGAAGAACGAATAAGTAATCTTGAAGACACAGAAATAAAAAGAACCAAAACAGAAAAGGAAAGAGAAGTACGAAGGAAAAAGAATGAAGAAAGACTTCGGGAACTATCTGACTCCATGAGGAAAGGAAATATAAGAGTTATAGGAATTCCAGAAGGAGAGGAGAGAGATGTAGGAACAGAGAAAATATTCATGGATATAATTGAAGAGAACATCACAAATGAGAAGAAGGAGCTGAAAATTGATATACAAGAAGCAAGAAGAACACCAAACTTCCACGACGAAAGGAAAAACACAGCAAGACACATAATAGTAAAGCTCCCAAGAATCCAGGACAAGGAAAAAATAATGAAGCTGACAAGAGGGAAGAAACAGATAACATTCAAAGGAAAACCAATCAGGCTGACATCAGACTTCTCTGAAGAAACACTACGGGCAAGGAGAGAGTGGAGGGACATAGTCAACAGACTCCAAGAAAACAGATGCCAACCAAGAATACTCTATCCCGCAAAGCTCTCTTTCCTCCATGAAGAAAGAATATGGACCTTCCCAGACAAAGAGAAACTCCGGAGTTTCATTGCGACTAAACCCCCACTCCAAAAAATACTACAAGGAATCCTAAAGCCAGAACCTCAGAGGGACGAATAACAACGAAAGAAGACCAAAAAAAAAAAAGTTATTAAAAGAATAAATAAATAAAATCAAAGGAAAGACAAACAATGGCAAATACAGATGCTAACATATCAATATTAACTCTAAATGTAAATGGACTAAACTCTTCAATAAAAAGACACAGAGTTGCAGCCTGGATTAAGAAACAAAACCCAACCTTTTGCTGTCTCCAGGAAACACATTTAGCTACAAAAGATAAAAATAGGCTCAAAGTCAAAGGATGGAAAACAATCCTACAAGCAAATGGGCCAAAAAAGAAAGCAGGAACAGCTATACTTATATCAGATAAAACAGACTTCAAACTCAAAAAAATAAAAAGAGACCCCAGTGGTCACTACATTATGATTAAGGGGACAATACTTCAAGAAGAAATAACACTCATTAACATATACTCACCAAACGAAAGAGCACCAAAATATATCAGACAACTGTTGTCCTCTCTGAAAACAGACATCAGAGAAAACACATATGTAGTGGGAGACTTCAACACACCACTATCAACAATGGATAGATCAACAAGACAAAAAATAAGTAAAGAAACTAAAGCTCTAAATAAGGACCTAGAGCATTTGGGCTTAACAGACATCTATAGAACACTAAACCCAAAAAAAACGGAGTACACATTTTTCTCAAGCGCACACGGATCATTCTCCAGGATCGATCACATACTGGGGCACAAGACAAACATCAACAGATACACCAAGATTGAAATCATACCAACCATCTTTTCTGACCACGAAGGCATCAAACTAGAAATAAATCATAAAAAGAAGGCAAGGAACTATCCTACCTCATGGAGATTAAAAGCCACACTACTGGAAGACCACTGGACTAACGAGGAGATCAAAGAAGAAATTGAAAAATTCTTTGAATTGAATGACAAGGAGGACACCAATATCCTAAATGTATGGGATGCAGCAAAAGCAGTAATAAGAGGAAAATATATAGCAATAGAAGCTCACATCAAAAAACAAGAAAGAACTCAAAGAAACAACCTAATCTCGAAGCTCAAAGATCTAGAAAAAGAACAACAAAAAAACCCCAGAACCAGTAGAAGAAAAGAAATAATAAAACCAAAGCAGAAATAAATGAAATTGAAACTAAAAAAACAATCCAAAAGATCAATGAAACCAAGAGCTGGTTCTTTGAAAAAATAAATAAAATAGACAAACCCCTAGCCAGGCTCACAAAGGAAAAAAGGGAGAAAGCACAAATACACAGAATCATAAATGAAAGAGGAGAAATCACAACGGACACAGCAGAAATCAAAAGAATAATCAGCAACTACTATGAACAGTTATATGGAAACAAGTTCAACAATCTAGAGGAGATGGACAAATTCCTACAACTCTACAATCACCCAAAGCTAGATAAAGAAGAAATAGAACACCTAAACAGACCAATTACAAGCAGCGAAATTGAAATGGTAATTAAAAACCTCCCCAAAAACAAAAGCCCAGGACCTGATGGATTTACAAATGAATTCTACCAAACATTCAGAGACGAATTAGTGCCTATCCTTCACAAACTCTT